TCCTCACTGTCCTCGGCAACCACTTCTTCCTTTTTCTTCTTTTCGCTCTCCTTCTTGCTCTTCTTTTTGTTGTCCTTCTTCTTGGAAGGTGTAGCAGTGCTGGCTGCATATTCACGCCACATCCTGATCTGGTAACAGATGAAGTTCCAAGCCAACCATGCTTGCATAAGGATAACGCCAGCCATTGCAGTGAGTCTGATAACAAAATTTATAATGCACTGATCACTTAATTCAACATCCAAGCAGAGATCTAAATTTCCAAACTGCACAATGTAAACATATTATATAAATAAAATTAATAAATAAATCCTAAACCCAGTTCTCCAAACCCAGGGCAAAAACTTTCACTCGTCCTCTCGTCTGAGACGAGTAGGTTTTGGCCTTGGACGACTGAAACTCATAAAGCACTCGTCCAACCGGATGAGTAAAATTTATCTTGAGCAACATTTTTTTTTTCAGCTTTGTAAGATCTGGAGTCGATAGCTTGCATAGAATATAGTACAGGGCGCAATGTAGAAATCTGTTTTGGCAACGTTTTATTTTCTTTGGACGAGTGAATTTTATGTTCAGACAACCAAAACCTGCAAAGTACTTGTCCAATGGACAAGTGAAGCTGAAAAAAAGTTTTTTGCCCTGAAATCCTGGCCCCATTTCAGGCCAAAAAATGTCATTTTCCACACCAGTATCCTCTGGATAGAGATTTATTTGATGGACATTTACACACTTTTGATCATACTTGCATGGAAAAGGCATGTTATAAATTTTTAGTTATTATTATTATTATTATTATTATTATTATTAGTTATTATTATTATTATTGGATAACGCTCTCCAACCTTTAGACAACTGGGACCTGGCCTCTAAAATCCATACCCATTTTCAGACTAGGCCTCTAAAATCCATACCCATTTTCAGACCTGGCCTCTAGGCAGAAATTATGTTATCATTCCTTAGATTAGAATGCAAACAAAAAATTTCTTAAAATATCTTTCAAATTCGCACATTTCTCTTTCTTTCCTAATCATTTGGAATTGAAACAACAAGTACGTACATTCATCCCTGTGGTTCCCTTTGAAACTATATCAGCCCAATTCCAGACCAAAATGGGCAAAGTGTATACCCGTTTTCAGACCAAAACAACACAAAAACCATACCCTTCGGGGCCGCAAATACCTATATTGTTTTATAAGGGAGTAATCCCCCCTTCCCCTCTGTAAGCAGTAAGCTTATGAAATTTAAAGTTATATGATTCTTTGCTTGTTGTCCCAAGGGTATAGTAGAGCAAGTTGCCTGAGGGGGAGGTACTGGCTGCTGCAATAGCACAGCACAAGTTTGGGCCTCTCTAATACCCTTCCCCAATGGGGGCCTGATTTCTGTTTTTAATAGGCCTATCCCCCTACCTCACCCAGTAATCAAACCCTTAGAAGTCACCACTTGGCTACAAAATTTATCACCTAAAAGCTGTTAGTGAATGACATTATCACTGTGTTTTAATTGCTACAGTTTTAGTAGACATGCACCTGCATCAACAGAATATGCTTGATTGAACTTACCATTGCCTAACATTATTGTGCATGGCAGGTATTATAAGCAGATTGTACTATTACTTATCAAAGCTGATCAGCATGCCAAGAAAAAAATCCCAACCCCTTGATTTCAAGAGAGTTGTGAATGACCCCCCACCTCTCTCTAACCTCCCTCCCAACAATAAATTTATTTTTTTACAAAATTCATGACATTATTAAATTCTAAAAATCACACCACACGTTCACCCACTCATCTACATAAATTACCCTTTGGAGTCTTACCGAATAGGTGGACTGTTGAAGTTTCCCAGGTTGACATTCAGACCAGCATTATCAAGACGTGGAAGCCCATACCTATTATGCACCATTAAAAACAAATAATATAATACTTTAGGATAAGTTGAATCAAACAAAAAACCTACATTGTAAGGCAAAAGGCAAGTCACATTGATTAACAAGAAAGTTCATACCAAAAGGTCATAAACGTCAGAGCAATTATTGCAAATCGTGCAATGGCAAACAGAAAAGTCCAAACCCAGAAGCTAGAGGAGAGAACAAAAGAAATATGTTTACAGAGGTTTCCATGATTGTATTTTATATGTCTGATTAAATTAATAAAATGGACACAGTTTGAAAAGTACCAAAAAATGCTTGTCTCAAATAGGTGGCCGTCTGACCATCTCTAGGTGTCTGTTTTAGCAGGGTGATATTCAGATGCATGGTAATAATCCTCTTCTAGTGCAAGTAAAGTAGTGCATCACAAAATGCTATAAATGAATCTTGATCTCTTGTTTAATTCTCCTTTAGTTTCACAATTGAACAGAAGGCATTTCTGAGGAGAATCTAGAAGTTCATAAAATGATTGTCTTAAAGAGGTGAGTGTCTGATTGGGAGTCCATGGAGGGACCAAAGGATGGAAGCTGGGACCAACTCTAGGTGTCTGTATTCAGGTTGTAATAAGTCTCTTGTTATGGTTACTAATGAAAGGGTGCATTGAAAAGGCTTTAAATGAATCTTGATCTTGTGATAAGTTCTCCTTTTGTTTCACAATCATACACAAGGCATTTTTGAAGGAAATCTAGAAATTGACCAACTTTTGGACTTTTCCCAAGCAAGCTTCCAGCTGGAACAAACATGTACTTACAAGGTCTTGGCAACATCTTCTTTGCCACTAATACGCAACATTCTCATTGCATGGTTAATGCACTCCACAAAATAATGAACAACCAGGCAACAGATGGTGATATGAGTAAAGCTACAACAAAAATAAAACCAATTTAATTAAACTCAATTTTGTTCAACTTAAGTTGTAATGAAAATACAATTAGTTATTTATAGTGGCAAAATTGGAATTAGGTATTGGAAAGCTGTTTGTTCACGACTTTAGAATATTCCAATACATTGACAAAGAATATATAATTATTGTCTTGAATTTTTTTCCTGATCTTTGCTTTTTATTGGGAAAAGCCATTGCATAAGTAGAGTTTGCTTCATGTGTAGCTAAATACGGTCAGCACTCAAAATAGATGTACCCCTAAATAACTGGAAAAAAGAAGCTGCCAGGCTTATCAGAGTTCTAAGGGGTCCTTTGAAGATAACAAGCTTGGAGATCAAGCTCGTAACATCAGCAGAAATACTTACTTTAGCATGTACGCAGCCCAGATGAAAAGCAGATATTCAATATACAACTGAATCTTGGGAAATATCTCTTCCTGCCAAAAACAAAAGATAAAGTACTTTAAAATAATATAACGATATGATTGAGGTTGATCTTTACTTGAGATTTATGATAATCAATATAAGTACAAGTATATAACAAGATTGCCTTTACAGCCATTCAGAGTGATAACCATCAAATTTCTCCTCATAATATCAAATGCTTTATGGAACAGAATGATTGGTGACAAGAATTAGGAGATAATCACCCAAGATAAATTTAATAGATACCAGTAGTTCACAGAGATGCCAACCACTGGGGATAAAATATCAGGAGAACATCTTTTTTGCAGTACCCACAATATCACCCAACCCCCTGCCCTCCTAAAACACACAAAATGACCCAGTAGTCACATGATAACAGGAGAGTGGTTCAGGACACTATATGAAGTCTTACATGACGTAATATTATCCAAAACCGCTTCAATCACTACACTTACCCGTTTGGCTCGCATGAAGTACAGTTCAGGAAAGCAGTGCACCCAGAATGAAATTTGAAGAATGAAGTAGAATTTGAGGGTGAATCTGAAAGGGGTGTCAGATAGAGTATATTTCAGTCACAATATATTAGAGACCTTTAGATTCAAGCAGGAGAAAATCGAGTATGGGATTTCACTTCAACATGTCACGTATATTCTCAAGAACTAGACTCACCAGAAAGCTTCATTGCACTTTGTTTTCACCAGAAAAGTGAGCACTGTAACCTTTATTGAAGGAGGTAAAGCGCTCCCCCGATGACAAAATGATTAACCTTCCAACATTTGATAATTTGTTTTCACCACTACAACATTCTGGTAAGAACTCATCGTAGAATGACAGCTACTACACTGTATCATGTTTTCCAACCAAAATGACGCTGGTTCACAAGCGAGCACTACTTAGTATAGAGAAAAATCTTGTACTCGCAGTTCTTCTGGTCTTAAAATCTAAAGGTATCTATTATATCATCATCATCAGCACACAATTCTTGATGTGCACGGTTTTCATGGCAAAGGTGTTAGCAGTCGGTGGTACTTTTACAGGCAAGCTGCAGGGTCCTGCCTTGGAATAAAATTTCAGAACTGGTTGCAGAACTAAAGTTGGCAGCCGCATGTTGAACGCAAAACTGAAAAGGGCAGGGCAAGTAAAAGTTGAGATTTAATTGGTCATTTTAAGGTCTTGCATTAAACTTGCCACAAGTCATCAAACTGGGAAAACAGACCTGAAACTTAATTCACTCAGTTTCCTAACCATAATCACTAAACTCCACAGTTAATTGGCATTCAGCACCCATCAAACTAAAAAATACCCCTCAGCCTGCCAACATTGCATCACTATACAACAGTTCTGGAATGTTAACCAGGACATCAAGGGTCACTTTATTTTTACCTGGGCCAATAAGAGGGCAAAGAAACTGGTTCAAGTCAATTTTAGTCCTCATGGTTAAGAATTAGTTTATTAAACAGTGGACTAACAAATGTGCTCAGAACTTACGACATTTCATTGTGAGGGTAGCCTTCCCAAAGTTTTGAAATATGAGGAATAAATCCTTCCTACAAAGAAAAATATTATTAACACAAACACTAAGAACTATGCTTTATGCAGAAAATAATAAAATATTGTATACAATGCATTAGCCAAGATGGAGGCAGAGCTCCAGCCTTTGAAGATATCAGCATAGCAAATATAATTTTCTATGAAGTTTTATGCTGGGCTCCCTGTGCACGAGTTAAAAAGGTTCACCATTTGAATTTCCTAAAAATATTCTTAGATTCCACCAAATTGGATGTCTCCATCATTTTACTGTATCATGCATACAAATATATCTCACAATGTACACAAATATACTGTTTTACCTTCAAAATGATATCTGCTCCCCAGGCAGCAAAGAAAAAGTAGAATGGAAGTAATATCCCAGAATCGTTAAACTTGGTATTTTTTGTTTTTGAAAGGCGTAGTTTACGGGAGACTTTCTGTAATCAAAAAAAATATATACACTCATTACATTACCCACAGGAAAAAATAACACATTCCCATTTTTGGATATTTTGGGGTATTTAAAGAATACCCACAAAAATCCCAAATATGGAAGAGTGAGACAAGTCCCAATTATCTGGGAACTTGGTTGGGAATTCCCTGGTTGGGAATTGTCTCACTTTGCCAAATTTGGGATTTTTATGGGTATTCTTTAAATACCCCAAAATATCCAAGAATGGGAATCCATTATTTTTTCCTGTGACCCACACCAAGATTTCGATTAATAATGGCACTTGGGGACAATCAAAAGCATTTTCAGCTGACGGATCTTGTTGCTGGTTCTACACCACGATAAGTAGTAGACCTTGAGACAAGTTATGGTGGGATGACTTAGTAGTCTAATGTTCAAATCTACTGAAGAAATCCTATGGTGTTACCAATCCAATGAGCTCTCTTTGGCAGAACATTTACATGGTGCTATTCACTTCTTTGAATTTTACAAAAAGAATTTGGAACTTTTGTGAATTCTAAACATTGCTAAAAGAATGTTCTTTCTTAGGAACACAAATCTGAATGCAAGGGTAAGGGAATATTCATATGGGATTTTGTTCTTAGGGACTATTCACATAATACCAGAATCACCGGGTTTTCATTCTCAACGGATTTCATTCCATCTTCATACATTTTCTCTGTATTATTTGTTTACATGATACCAAAATGACATTTTGTTCCCATACAAGTCGTTCCAGAATGAGTTCATTCTGTATGAATTTCAATCCACATGAAATTCTCATTCTGGTAAGAAATTTCATTTTGCTATCATGTAAACTGAAAAGGATCTTTGTTCCGGAATGAAAAATCACAAATCGTGTAGTCTGGAGCGAGTGGCACATGCGTATCTAATCTGGCACAAAAACCACCTGAGTGAGAACGCCTTAGGCTGAGATGGTCAATTTTATCATGTGAATGCAGTCTGAGCTTCACTCTGGAACGAAACTAAATTGTGGAATGAAAGCCATTCGGGTATCAAAATTAATAAAGAGTTCCTTAGGCTAAGACCTAAGCATAAAAGGGCTGGAAATGTTTTGCTTTTCTACTTACATCCCAGACATATTCCTGAATGATGGCATGAACAACAATCCATGCTAATGAGTAAAAGAAAATTGTGCAGAAATCTTTGGGTCCATTTGTGTATGTTGTCGGCAGTTCCTCAGTACCTGTATGAAGTACAGTTCAGGAAAGCAGTGCACCCAGAATGAAATTTGAAGAATGAAGTAGAATTTGAGGGTGAATCTGAAAGGGGTGTCAGATAGAGTATATTTCAGTCACAATATATTAGAGACCTTTAGATTCAAGCAGGAGAAAATCGAGTATGGGATTTCACTTCAACATGTCACGTATATTCTCAAGAACTAGACTCACCAGAAAGCTTCATTGCACTTTGTTTTCACCAGAAAAGTGAGCACTGTAACCTTTATTGAAGGAGGTAAAGCGCTCCCCCGATGACAAAATGATTAACCTTCCAACATTTGATAATTTGTTTTCACCACTACAACATTCTGGTAAGAACTCATCGTAGAATGACAGCTACTACACTGTATCATGTTTTCCAACCAAAATGACGCTGGTTCACAAGCGAGCACTACTTAGTATAGAGAAAAATCTTGTACTCGCAGTTCTTCTGGTCTTAAAATCTAAAGGTATCTATTATATCATCATCATCAGCACACAATTCTTGATGTGCACGGTTTTCATGGCAAAGGTGTTAGCAGTCGGTGGTACTTTTACAGGCAAGCTGCAGGGTCCTGCCTTGGAATAAAATTTCAGAACTGGTTGCAGAACTAAAGTTGGCAGCCGCATGTTGAACGCAAAACTGAAAAGGGCAGGGCAAGTAAAAGTTGAGATTTAATTGGTCATTTTAAGGTCTTGCATTAAACTTGCCACAAGTCATCAAACTGGGAAAACAGACCTGAAACTTAATTCACTCAGTTTCCTAACCATAATCACTAAACTCCACAGTTAATTGGCATTCAGCACCCATCAAACTAAAAAATACCCCTCAGCCTGCCAACATTGCATCACTATACAACAGTTCTGGAATGTTAACCAGGACATCAAGGGTCACTTTATTTTTACCTGGGCCAATAAGAGGGCAAAGAAACTGGTTCAAGTCAATTTTAGTCCTCATGGTTAAGAATTAGTTTATTAAACAGTGGACTAACAAATGTGCTCAGAACTTACGACATTTCATTGTGAGGGTAGCCTTCCCAAAGTTTTGAAATATGAGGAATAAATCCTTCCTACAAAGAAAAATATTATTAACACAAACACTAAGAACTATGCTTTATGCAGAAAATAATAAAATATTGTATACAATGCATTAGCCAAGATGGAGGCAGAGCTCCAGCCTTTGAAGATATCAGCATAGCAAATATAATTTTCTATGAAGTTTTATGCTGGGCTCCCTGTGCACGAGTTAAAAAGGTTCACCATTTGAATTTCCTAAAAATATTCTTAGATTCCACCAAATTGGATGTCTCCATCATTTTACTGTATCATGCATACAAATATATCTCACAATGTACACAAATATACTGTTTTACCTTCAAAATGATATCTGCTCCCCAGGCAGCAAAGAAAAAGTAGAATGGAAGTAATATCCCAGAATCGTTAAACTTGGTATTTTTTGTTTTTGAAAGGCGTAGTTTA